TTGTGAACCATGAGATCATGACCTGAACTGAAGTCAGATGCTCAACCTACTGACCCACCTGGGTGCCCTTGGATGGATTTCATTTAAATAATAGTTACATGTGTGAAGAATATTGACATCATAAAGCACCTTCAATAAAATGGCTATAGATGGTTTTTGTTGTCACTTCCCAACCCCTGGAGCTGAGGCAGCGCGGCATGCAAGAACATCTCTCTCCAAACAGATCAGGTTTGGCCACTCACCACTAAGAAAATACAAACAGATCCCAAACAGACCAGGTTTGGCCACTCACCACTAAGAAAATACAAACAGATCCCAAATAGACCAGGTTTGGCCACTCACCACTAAGAAAATACAAAGGCAGGAAAACTGGCTGGTGGTGAAACCGGAAAGGAATTTATATCAGTGAGGCCAACACTGGGAAGACAGCAGACTAACTTCTCACAGACTGTCTCCAAAGTGCTGAAAGACCTCGAGGTTTATATAAGGAAAATGTGTCACAAATGTCAGTGGGTACAGGCAAGTGAGCAGCAAAGGTGAAAATGATCATTGTCTTAGGGTCTGTCACGGGAGTCTTGCTGGCTCAGGCCAGTCCTTATGCTTAATGGGTAGTTTCGCTTCCCATCAGGAGTTGCTTTACCCACAGGGTCTTTTGCCAGAGTTAAGAGATAAGCTGGAAAGAAGAACTTAATATATTAGAAAGTATAGACTGAGGTCAAATTGGATATAGTTGAAGTCCTCTTTCACCACCTCTCAATATTCCAGTTATTTTGTAACTTTATTTTGAAGTTTTTAATAATTGATTTTAAAAATGGGAGCCTTTCCCCAGGTTCATTCGCTACGTCAGGCTCCACCGAGATGTTATTAAGCTTCTGGAATGTGCCTACACTATGAAGCTTTGAACAACAGCTAAAAGAAATTAAGAGTCCATTACATATTTTGCCTTAAAGTAAATGATGGTTTCAAGGTGTCTGGCCGGGGAAGAATGATGGTAAAAGTGAAAAAAACACCAAGAAACCAACTAATGGGGGGAAAAATAGCTACTTCAGTATGTGGACAATGGCTGTGATAGGACTATAGATACTTAAGCGCAGTCAGGAGAATATATTTGAACACCTTAAAAATTAGGGATGGAGAGGCCAAATTCACAGGCATCTGTCTTCTGTTGAAGGTTTGTGGTTGGTAAGTTTACTGTGTGGTCTTTGTCTTCCATTCTCTAACCACAACCCAGCTCTGCCCAATTGATTTCATCTTTTGAGATTTTAATTTTTTTTCTTTCTATTAAGCTACATGACACTTTTTGTGGCTATGTGTCACGTGAGGGGTGGGTTCGTGGGGAGAGAGAAAAGGTTTCTACTACTCCTCTATGAATCAGAAAAAAAGAAAAAAGAAACAACTGGGAAAAAAGGATGCCTGCTGAGGCGTAAGAATGACAAAGTCCCTGGTGAATTGTTGTGCAAGCAAAATCGTTTCAGTAGCAAGAGCCAAGTCTCCTTGTTAAACTCTGCCTGATGTTCGACACCCTCCTTTTTTACTGTTTTATCACAGCTAGTTCCATACTCAGAATTCCTTTAAGAACTCTGTGAGAAGCCACTAAAAGCATTCTCTGTTGATACAGTCAGCCCTGGGAAAGACATCTGAGCTTAACCTAGAAATGTATGTGGGGACATTTCTGGTATCTTGTTTAGTAGGGAAGACTGTCATGTCCTCCTTTCAATTACCCTTTAGGTGACATCAAGTAGATTTAGAGCGATTTATAACAAAATGGGATGGGCTTGACAGTAGACTTCCTTCACCCATCCTTTTGTGGAGATCTTTATGTAGTAAAATGTCCAATTATGGGTTCAGCACCATCATTTTTGGAACATGATCCTATATTTCAGAGTACCTCCTCCTTTTAAAAAAATCTCTGTTTTAATCCTTCTTGATACAAATTTAATTCACTCCAGTGCTCAAGGGTTATGTGTAGTTAAACACTGCTTTGTGCTTGTCTCACAAAACTACCAGCAGAAACCAATCAACAAAGATTTCTTTAGTCTTAACAGTAGGCAGATAACTTTGAGTGAAATGTATGAACATCTTTCCACAAATGACATCTGTGCTGAATTTGTTCATCTCTGAGTAGGTATGTCTGGTGCAAACGGTATGTCACTGTGGAGTTTCCTGAGTGGAGGGCTGTACATTTGCACAAACAAGTAGTGTGCTGTGCTTTGGGGAGTCAATACCTTGTTGCATTGCCATTTATATAGCTTTGATTACAACATCTTCCTTTTCCAGGGGTCAGGAGTAACTTCTTGCCTAAAAGAACTGCAGTCAGTTCGACAATAAAGCAGTTCATAATTCATTTGCCTTTTATTTCTTTACACTAATGTATAATACAAACTGTCCTCTCTCAGAAGATTTCAACATCTCAAGTTCTATGTCTCCTATGCTTCAATCCATAACTCCTTAGTGAGTTCCTAAAACTTCAACTAAACTACAAAAGTATATATCAGAAATAGAATATGAGCAAGTAGGTCTCAGGTGTTAAAAGCTGAGGGCAATTTACTTTAGGAGACTATGTTAAAATAAGGATTGTGAATTATGCGTTAAAATCTTCATGTTTGATTTTATGTTGATGCTAGCATGATATATGTACAGAGATGGTAATCCAAATTAGAGATGTGATCTCTAACCCAAACTTTTATCTCTAATGACACTCAAACATGCTACAGACATTTGGTAACAGTAGTTATGTTTCCAGAGAGCTGGTAAAATATTATTTCTGTGTGTATCTGTGTGTGTGTCTGGAAGAGATTAGCATTTGAACTAGTAGACTGAATAAAGATCCGCTCTCACCCATGTGGGTAACCATCACCCAGTCCATGGAGGGCCTGACTAGAACGAAAAGGTGTTGGGTGAATTTCCTCTCTGTTTAAGTTGGGACATCCATCTTCTCCTGCCCTCAGATTTTAGTGCTCCAATTTCTTGGGCCTGCAGACTTGGTTTGGGATTTATATTTACCACTGGCTCCTCTGGTTCTCAGGCCTTTGGGTTTGGACTGGAACTATACCACTAGTTGTCCTGGACTTCCAGCCTGCTGACAGCCTATCATAGGACTACTCAACCTTCATAATTGTGTGAGCCAATCCCTCATAATAAAGCTCTTTCTATATTCTACATATTCCATTGGTTCTATTTCTCTGGAGAATCCTAATTCAATGACTTACTAAAATAATGCTTTAAGTCCCTATAGCCATATGAAGCTCCTGTAAGAATATTAACCTCTTAGCCATTTAACTTTTATATCAAATTAAACACATATTAGTATTTGAAGTCAAATGGAAACCTATGTAGATTATTGGAAGACACACTTTCTCCCTTTGAATTTAAGACTCCATATTGGATCCAAAGTTGAGTAGTCAAAAGTCTTTTTAGTATGTCTCCTGAAAGTTTTCTGTCTCCTTTTGTTTCCACTTGGATGAAATGAATGTATTAATGATTAACACAGTGCTTCATGTAGAGCAGCTTAGAAAGGGCTCTCAGAATAACATGTTGAATCACCATGTTGTACACTTGAAACTAATATAACATTATATGTAAACTACACTTCAATAAAAAAGGAGGACTCTCAGTACACAATGTGTATTGTGGTAGGAGGAATTATGTCCCTCTCCCCTCAAAGATGTCCATTTTCTTTTTCTTCTTTTTTCTAATGTTTTGTTTATTTTTGAGAGAGAGAGAGAGAGAACCAGCAGGGAAGGGGCATAGAGGAAGGGAGACAGAATCCACGAAGCAGACTCCAGGCTCTGAGCTGTGAGCACAGAGTGCGACATGTGGCTTGAACTCGCGAACTGTGAGATCATGACCTCAGTTGAAGTTGGACACTCAACCGACTGAACCACCCAGGTGCCCCAAAGATGCCCATTTTCTAATCCCTGAAACTTTTGATTCTGTTACCTTACATGGTTTAAAGGACTTTACAGAGGTGTTTAATTTGAAGCATCTTGAAACAAGGAGAGTCATCTGGGTTTCCAAGGTGGAACCAACCTAATCACTTGTGTTTTTCAAAGCAGACAAACTTTCTCGGCTCTGGGCAGAGCGAGATGTGTCCACAGACGGAGAGTCAGAGAGATACAGGTTGAGGATTCTACTTTCCATTTTTGGCTTTCCTGGCTTTGAAGATAGAAAGAGGTCAAGAGCTGAGAAATGTGGACAGAGCAGAGAAGCTGAAAATGGAACACAGTATTGGTGGTTTGAAACTGGTTTAATAATTTCCTAATGTTAATGTGTACAACTCATGGGCTACTTGTTTAGAATGCATATCACCAGGCCTAACCTCAGGCATTCTGATTCGTTTTGTCTAGTGTGGGAGTATATCTAATACCTGATTCATTATATCTAGTCTGAAAGTTAACTTCGTTTGGACAACCATAAATCAAGAGGAGCTCAAAAAGCCATTCTATCTTGATTTTATTAAAAGTAAATTGCCATAATGAGAAGGAATGAAATCACGCCATTTACATCAACATGGATGGAGCTGGAAGCTATTATGCTGAGTGAAATAAGTCAGTCAGAGAAAGATAGATATCATATGTTTTCACTCATATGTGGAGCTTGAGAAACTTAACAGAAGACCAACAAGGGAAAGGAAGGGGAAAAAATAGTTACAAACAGAGAGGGAAGGAGGCAAACCTTAAGAGACTCTTAAATACATAGAGCAAACAGAGGGTTGGTGGGGGGTGGGGGAGAGGGGAAAGTGGGTGATGGACATTGAGGAGGGCACTTATTGGGATGAGCACTGGGTGTTGTATGTAAGTGAAGAACCACAGGAGTCCACCCAAAAAACCAAGAGCACCCTTTACACGCTGTATGTTAGCAAATTTGACAATAAATTATACTAAAAAACTAAATTGGCATATTTACCTCATAGTTTAGTCTTTGTTTCCGTATTTATATTACAGAATCAGAGAGAAGTGACATATACACAAAGGTACTTTTGACTGCATTTTAGTCAGCTTGTGCTCACTTCGGCAGCACATGTACTAAAATTGGAACAATACAGAGATTAGCATGGTCCCTGTGAACGGATGACATGCAAATTCATGACGTCAATCAGCTTGATGGCCTTTTTCTAGAAAATTCGAAAACTTCAACAGGGATACTTGACCGGAAGGATCAGTAATGTCTTTCTCTGGGAGGAATAAACTATACATGTTTATTTGTTTAATGTGTGTTTGCCAGGCTTGTCTGTAAATTCCATTAAAGCAGACATCAATAGCTTCACCAACTGACAACAGGCCAGACTCCATTAATCAAAAAGTACTTTGTTTTCAGGTACTACCATTTTGAGTTAATGGTAGGAGATGTGCAGGGGAGGGATATGTTGAAGAAATATTCAGGAAATAAAATGAGCAGATCTAACAGTCTGATGAGGGATTCCAGAAAAATGTTCTAAGCTTCAAACTTCAGTTGTTCGATGGACACATCCCCAGTCAAGGAAGAAATGCTTTTGGTGGAAGATGAGTTTTAGAGATCGTATGTTTGGGGATGTCTGTTGGAGCTAATCATCAGTAAATAACTATGGATACGTGGGAATCTGCAGTTCTCTGGTGGGACAGACGGCCCCCAAAATTTGCCTGTGCTCCCATTCTCAGAGATGTTGTTTTACAGGACAAAGAGACGTTGTACCTGAGTTTGAAGTTAAGAATCTTAAAATGGTGAGGGATTCCTGCATTATCCAGGTGGGTTCAATACAATCGTAGTAGTTCTTTAAAGCAGCTCTTCTCCAGCTGCAGAGAATCCCAGAGGGCAGCATGGGAAACCCTCGGCTGGCTGTTGCTGGTTTTGGTGCCGAAAGGCGGCCACGAATACAGCGTGATAGACTCCAAGACACCAGAAAAAGTAAGGAAATGCTTTGTCAGGGAGCCTCTAGAAAGAACTCAGGTTTGCCAACCCATCGTATGTAGACTAGTGAACTCCTGAAACTGATTTTGGACTTGTGACCTCTAAAACTGTAAAGGAGTATTTTTATGTTGTTCTAAGCCACCTATTTGTGTTAAATTTTAACAGCAACATAAAATGATAAAGCAATTATCCTGTTTCCCAAAACAAAACAAGTAAGCTTATGAAACTTGATAATGTAACTCTCTGGGGCCGCGATCTCTAAAGCCAAGCAAATTCTACCCCTCGGTTCCCTTTCATTTTGAGAGACATAGGCTTAGTTGTTGATCTCTGATCTGGGTTTTCGTGGACAAATTTTTTTGCTGCTTCTGAGGAAGCCTGCAGGTGAGGCATGCTGTGGTATACAACAGAAAATACAATACTGACTCTCTGCCAATCACCCGGTCGAAGCCGAACTTTGAAACAGAAAAATTCACACTCTGCCCCAGATCTCATTGTCAATATCTATCAATTTGGATTTGCTCCATTATTAGTGAAACTCTTCTGATGCTTTCCTGAGAAGCAGTGGTTGAGCTGTGTTTAGGGAGTGAAGTATGGACCTGCTGGTATCTGAGGATGGCTATATTTAGAAGCAACAACGTAAATTGGACCTCTGTTTCTTCCATAATCTCTGATCTTTATTGTTTAATGTTGCAATGCAGTCTGAGGCAGGAGAATCCCTTCATCACCTGGCTGAGACAGTGGTGGTCAGCTTCCCCTGCTGTAAAATTACTCTTTTTTCTTTTTTACATATTCTAGTCTTTGGAAGAAACCTACGATGTGCAACCCAAGCATAAGGAGTGGGGAATTAGGTTATTTGGAATTTTGTGCAGATTTGTCTAGTCTCCATTTTTACAAAGAGTAGTCTTTGTAGCCATATGGACTTGTGACTCCTATACTCTGATTTATAACAACGCAATACTACTTTATTTTATTGATAACTTCTTCTAGCTTCAGCTCCTGGAAGTTCTTTGAGCTTGTTCATGTTTCCTGTTGACCTACTCGTATTACTATGTGGGTTTTTTTTGTTTGTTTTATTTTTCTTTGTTTTTGAGTGCCACCTTACTTTGTGGCAATATAAGATCTCCAGATCATCTTCTATATAATAGTTCATTTTTTGTGCTAGAAGGTTTTGCAGGTTTTAATAAATGCACAGTGCCATATATCCACCATTACTTTGTTATATAGAATGTTTAATCACTCTAAAAACTTCTGTGCTACACCAGTTTAACATCCCTTTAACCTCTAGCAACCTGTTCATTATGTTTATAGTTTGACCTTTTCTGGAATGTCTTATAAATGGCATCATACAATTTTTATCTCTGAATAGTATTCTATCGAATACTATCAAATACACAATTTTTTTTCCTTCCATTAACCTGTTGAAAGGCATTTTGGCTGCTTGCCATCTTTGACATTTATGAATAAAGCTGCTATAATGATTCATGTGCAAGTGTTTGTGTGGACATAAGTTTCCAACTAAAGAAGGTAAATATTCAAGCCCTTGCCCAGTTTTTTATCAGATTTTTTTCTATTGAGTTATAGGAATACTTTACAGGTTTGGGAAATTAACTCTATATCGATGATTTTCAAATATTTTTTCCCATTCTGTAGATGGTCTTTTTATGCCAGTGATTGTTTCCTTTGCTGTGACAGTGTTTGAGTTTGTACTCACACATGCCAATTTTTGCTTTTGTTGTCTGCACTTCTGTTTAGAGAAAGATCATTGCCAAGACCAATGTCAAGAAGCTTTTCTCCAATGTGTTGTTCTAAGAGTTCTGCAGTTTCAGATCTTATGTTGAAATATTTAGTCCATTTTGAGTTGAGTTTTGTATATAGTGTAAGGTAGGGCATAATTTCATTTCTTTTCTTCCTTTCTTTCTTCCTCCCTCCCTCCTTTCTTTTCTTTTTTTGTGCATATGGATACCCAGTTTTCTCAGTACCATTTGTTGGAGAGATTATCCTTTCCCTATTCTATGTCCTTGGCATCCTTGGCAAAGATGAGTTGTCTGTACGCGGTGAGGTTATTTGCGGGCTCTGATTCTATTTCTTGGTCTTCATGTCTGTATTTAGGCCAGACCCATGCTATCTTAATGACACCTTGTACTGTATGGTTTATTAACAAGTATGATACCTCCAGCTTTGTATTCTTTTCAAGATGGCTTTTGTTATTCATGGGCTTCTGTGGTTCCATACAAATTTTAAAATTGTAGTTTCTATTTCTATAAAAATTACCAATGGGATTTTGATGGGGATAGTATAAAATCCGATTCAAAGATGACAGATTGAATATTATGAACATGTTAACAGTATTAAGTCTTCCAGTCTATCAACACAGGATGTCTTTTCATGTATTTGTGTGCTGTCTTCGTGCTGTCATCAATGTTGTATAGATTTTAACATACAGATATTTTGTTGTTAGTGTATAGAAATGCAACTGGTTTTTATATGTCGATTTTTATACCCTGCAACTTCACTGAATTTGTTGATTAGCTCTAATGGTTTTTGGTGGAGTCTTATGGAATTCTGCTTACATGATCATGTTATCTGTCAACAGGTAATTTTATTTGACTTCTTCTGATTTTGGATACATTTTACTTTATTTCCTAATGGCTATGTTGGATAGAAGTAGTGAGAGTGGACACTTTGTCTTGTTCCTGATCTTAGAGGAAAAGATTTCAACTTTGCACCATTGACTATGATGTTAGCTGGGGGCTTGTTATATATGGCTTTTATTATGTTGAGTAATGTCCTTTCTATTCCTTGCTGTTTGAGTATTCTTATCATGAAAGGCTGTTGAATTTGTGAAATGTTTTGCTGTATCTATTGATCATGTTATTTTCATCCTTCATTATGTTAATGTGGTATATCACACTGATTTGCATATGTTGAAATATCCTTGGATCCCAAGGATAAGTCCCACTTGATTATGGTGTGTGATCCTTTTAATGTGCTCTTGAATTTGGTTTGCTAGTATTTTGCTGAGGATTTTTACATCTATTTTCATAAGGCATATTGGCCTGTTAATTTTTTTTCTTGTAGTGTTTTTGTCTGGCTTTGTTATTAGGGTGATGATGGCCTCATAAAATGAATTCGGCAGTTTTTCTCCTCTTAATGTTTTGCAGAGTTGGACAAAGATTCATGTTAGTCAACAGAATGAACAGGTGATACGTGAAATGAGAAAAAACATTTACAAACCATTTATCTGATAAAGTGTTGGTCTCCAAGATAGGTAAGGGACTCTTAAAGCTCAATAGTATCAAAAAATCTGATTAAAAAAAATGAGCAAGGAACAAACCAGTCATTTACATAATTTATTTGAAAACTTATGTACACATAAACACCTGTACATGAATTATTATAGTAGCTTTATTCATAATTTTCCCAAACGGGAAACAACCAAGATGTCTTCCAATAGGTGAATAGCCAACGGGTATGTAAAATGTTGAATGTCATTAATGATTGGGAAGTTCAAATCAAAATTATGACGCAATATCACTTCACATCTGTTAGAGTTATCATCTAGGAAACAAATCATAACAAAGGTTAAATTTTTAGAGGAATTGGAATTCTTGTGTACAGTTTTTGGACACAAAATGATAAAGCAGCTATGGAAAAAGTATAGAGATACCTCAAAACATTAAAAGTAGAAATACTATATAGTTCAGTAATCTCATTTCTGACTGTTTGCCCAACTGAATTGAAATATGAATCTCAAAGAGATAACTTCACTCCTGTGTTCATTTCACTACCAATAACAGTGGCTCTGATATGGAAACAACTTGTATCCATGGAGAGATGAGTAGTAAAAAAAGTATGGTATATAAATATAATGGAGTATTCTTCAGCCTTCAAAAATAAAGAAATCCTGTCATCTGTGACAGCATGGATGAACCTGGACAACATTATGCCAAGTGAAGTAAGCCAGTCACAGAAGGACAAATACTGTGTGATTCAGGTGCTGTGAGGTACCCAGAGTAGTCAAAATCATAGGAGCTTAATCAGTAATGTTTGCCAGGGGCTTGGCATGGGGAAAATAATATTCACTTGTTAGAAAGTTTGAGTTATGCTACATGAATAAGTTCTAGGGATCTGCTGTACAACATAGTGCCTATAGTTAATAATACGGTGTATGCATTTCATAGTTTAAGAGGGTAAATATCTATTAAATGTTACAGCACA